GCCTCCATCTCCGACTCGGACGGGGCGGATTGGAGAACGGAGGCTGCAGCTTCCACCGGCTCCTCGTTAACCGCTCGCCTCATGAGGACTCAGACCAGTTACGCCGGACCGTCGAGTGGAGAGCACCCCTCCATTCCTGCCTCCTTTCGACCCCTGACCTCTTCCGCCGCCGACGCTGCCAACGCTGCTTATACTGACTCTGCAACCGGAACGCCAAAATTGGCCGCCGTTCTTCTTCTCATACATCAAGTTCGTCAGTCCGATGCAGGACATTATCAGTGCGAAGCAAGTCTGGCTGGACACCGTCGGAGGTCGGTTCGAAGAACCAAGCTTAAGGTGCTCAGTAAGTCCAGAAAGAGCAGATTCAACCACCTCTCTTTTCTCGTTCTGTATCTCTTCCTCTGACCTGGTCAACACAAACTTATTTTAGCTCATGCTTTATCTTCAAATGGGCTCGTTTTATTTTCAACCACTCGAGATACCCTAGATTCCATAGGCTGCAAGGCCTGACGAATATGTTTCCATCAAAAAAATGCTTCGAAGGCTTTACAAGTAATTTTCGTATTTAAGTGGAGTTTCGAGATGACCAGTAAATCAGTAACATGAGATGTATTGAATACATCTGTTGGGAAAGCAAGGCTATGTGAAATTCAATGGGAACATCAGCTCTACTCATATCATTTTGGGAAAATTCGACTTCCAGTCCTTCATCACCGTAAACGAAATAGGGTGAATACATCTAATTCAGTACAAAATGATATTTCCACAATACTACTGTATTCTAAATAAGTAGGTTATGAGGCTATCAGACAATTTTTAGTCGTCTAGGCTGATGAAAGGAAAAATGAATGAATTATCCAAAAAAATGAGGAAAATGCCTCACATTACTGTGGCAGTGCGGAGGGGTATTAAGCATACCACTTTATGTGCATAATCAGCTTCCGCGTACTATTTTGGACTTATAATGCGAGGAAATTGTAAGATAGTCTAAATGAGAACGACTTTCAGAAAGCATGAAATGGTGCAATTCATTGCAAACACAGACCTTTTCCATTCATACTACACAGATTCGCCTATAATCCAACAGCGCAGTTCTAAACTGATGCAATCAACATAATTAAGTCCCATGATAGTTGGCAAAAAACCTGTTACTAAGGCCAGCGTTGCAGATAATGACATTGGCTCTAATCATTACAATATGAGATGTATTCCCCCTATTTCGTCTGATGTGATGAAGGACTGGTAGTAGAATTTACCCAAAATGGTATGAGTAGAACTGACGTTTCCATTGAATTTCACATCACCTTGCTTTTCCAAAAGTTCTTCTCATCCACGTAGCAGTGGACTGATGTTTCGACCTCGCCCCCAGCGGAGTGTGAGTGTGACACGTCAACCACTCGACCACATTGCCACGAGTGCCCTTGGCTCACAGGGCAGATGTGAATTTTAAAGAAGCCAGGCCTTTTGCCATATCATATTCTTTGGTGGGACTGTCGATGAAGCAAACGTTTATTTGCTATTATGATCGAATACTTTACTTATTTTTCTTACTTAAGTAGAGTTTTGAGACTTCTAGTAAATCGGTTATATGGGATGTATTTACCCTATTTTGTTTAATGTGCTGAAGGAATGATAGTAGAATTTTCTCGCAATGATATGAGTAGAGCTCTGTGAAATCCAATGAAAACATCAGCTCAACTCATATCATTGTGGGAAAATTCTACTACCAGTCCTTCATCACCTTAAACGAAATAGGGTGAATACATCTCATATTTATGATTTACTGGTAGTCTCGAAACTCTACTCAAAAATGAATTAAATTAATCGCAGTTAATCTAAATTTTCTGTATTGAATGCTAGATTAGAAGGTATGTGCCATTCCATCCCAATTTATATGTCTGTAAGCTGAGTGAGAATATTCGTACGAGGTTTATAAATGAAAAATTGCTAACTAAATATTAATCTCTGAATTGTTTGAAACAATTGAACTAATATATTATCAAGTGAAACTTATTAGCTAAGGCTGGGCTATAATTTTTCGTTCTATATCAGGACAAAAACCTATTTGCCGTAACTAGCCTTTAACAAGAAAGCGCAAGATGCGTAGATCGTTTAGACTGGTTGTCGATATGATGAGAGAAGAAGCCTACTTATTTTGACAGCCCTTAGCCCAAACTTTTCACTTCTCTGCTCTCTTTGTACATCATTAACCCTGAAATGCCCGACAAAAAAGTTGTGGCATAACCATGGAAATATGTTAAACTAGATGTAACTGTAAATATTTTTATGTAAAAATCAGTTGCTTCGATATTTTTTATTCATAGTTTATCAAAATAGAATGAATATAACTCACTATTACTATACAATGGACTCCGGACTGGATGCATTCCTCTAAATATTCCTACCAAAATGACCAAGTTGCAAAAACAAGATCAAACAACCTCTATACAACGAAAGGTGACTACGACCACAAAAAAGGCTACATCATCTTGGTCTTCATACCGTCGATAGCTAAATACTGTTCAAGAATAGCAGGAAACTAATTTTTGAACAATATTTCATGCTTTTAATCTCGGAGAAACAGGTTTAGATAGCTAAAATACCCATGGGGAAGTAACATAAGGGCCCTAGTTTTTAAATGAACTTAAAATGGTCTATACAAATTTCTTATCTAGATCGGATTAATATTTTACCTCCACTTGGTTTCATTAAACATTAAAAAACGATTATATGCTAGACCGCGATTCAAGAAGCAGCACCAAATCTTTCGGTCCTAATGCCAGCACTTCATATGGGATAAGCGATATAAGTGTAATGATAACACACAATCTTCACAGTTTTACAATGGTTGCTATTAGGTGAAAATATATTTCACAGAATGTATACTTTTACAGGCTTTCAAATATAGCTTTTTTATTCAGGAAGGACTTCATATTTAATTGAGTGGCAGGGTGGGAACCCTTTTATTGATAATTTAAAAATGTTTTTAGTCATTATAGTAAGATATTGAGAATGGAAAGTTTTTGAGTATGCAGCTAAATCCATGACTTCTCATTATATACGTAAATCACGAGACATGCTATCCAAATCAATAAACAAACTTTTATATAAATATTAATTGAATATATCTCTGTTACTGAATTTGAATAGTAGTATAAATCTTTAAATGAAAATAAAAATTTTATTTTTTTGTCATTCAACTACATTCAGTAATTTCTATTTATTTTGAAACTATTTTTGAATCCGGTTTTTTTTTTATAAATCTCAGTGATTTATCAAGGCTATATTACTATACTTCAAAGCGCATACTAAGTGGTAAAAATATCAGTTAAATAGACGATATCAACCTTGTCAAAAAATAATTATATTTATAAATTATAACTCAATAAATCATTCCGGCTGGAGTGAACTTTCAAACTTATCTTGGGCTCATCATCACCCTCACCGAGATTGGAAGCCGAATCTTTTTCATCGTGGTGACACATTACCACTCCACGAACCTACATGAATGCTAGTGGGTTACAATGCGAGTTTGACTTTCAAGACAAGCCAGGCCTTTCCCAATTAACATGTAAGGTGGAATTGCCGATGTTGCGAACGTGTAGCTTCCAATAAAATTGAAGTCGATACTTACTTTCTATTAGAGTTTCTTTAAAGAGCACGTTGATTTGAGAATGGGATTAATTGTGGAAAAATTTAAATTTGGGCCGTGGATCAGGTTAGTTGACCTAGGATGACTAAGAATTTATTTTCATTGAAACTCAATTGAGAATCATATAAGAATTTCAAAGCCTTTCAGACTCTAAGTGTATTTCACTTATATACTTAACTATATTTGATTGGATTCCTATTTTTTAAGAGCATTTGTCGAAATTCATTCCATTCCAGATGAAAAATCCTGTTGAGGAAGCTAGGGTAAATTAACCGAAATGACAATAAAATACCTTCGTCTTAACCATCGTTATCATCCCGTTTTTCAAGTCCTAAATTTGCTATATTTTAAAGAATTTGAATCCTCTTCTTCTTTGTATGTAGATCAACACGTCATTTAAGCCTCTAACTACATAACATGTACATTCATTTCTAATTTACCTCAATTATCTTTCGTATTGGGTATAATTTTTTTTATTATTGTCCATTAGGTTGCTGACTATGGTGTCCATATTAATATCTCCATTATTACTGGCATTCTCAGTTTATGTGTTAGACTAGAAAAATATGTTTACAACATTTCGAATCATACTTATTTACTATAAAAATATTATCCCAGCCTTTATTTATCCCAATTATTTTAAATAATGTATCATTGTGAAGATCGGCTGTGAAACTTGACGCCTTTTAATTACCACTCACTGTACTCTCCATGGCCGATCTCGGGTCAAGGCTAAATTCACCGTATTTTCTCATCTATTAAGCATGGACTTTTTTATTATTATCTTTATTCCTTTGCCATTTTCATATGTTTCCTTGACAAGAGCCTCGCAGACGCCAACCACCGATTCTTAGGTTCTCATCTAACGACGAAGACGTTAGAAATATTTACACTACCTTCGGTCTCACCTCTTTGTCTACGTTTCAATTTGGAGGATCAACAGAAGTTGGCTCTTCTGAGTCTGTTGCAAGCTCGTCAGGTGTCTCCAGTGGGGCCTTGGACCACAATGACAACACTGGATTTCGGACAGGCATTGCCGGCAATGGAACTATACTAGAAGAAGATGGAAGAGAGACCGCCGAAGGAGGAGGCACGGGTGGAAGAAGAGGAATTGGAGGAGGGAAAGAAGGAGAAGAGGGAGTGGGAATTAGGAGAGGGAAGGAGGAAATGAGGGGAACTGAAGGCAGTGTAGGAGTTAGTGGAGCTGCACATGAGGGAGAAATATCTGCTCCAAGGATTCTGCAAGTTGCAGAAGGCTCAAATGTCACTCTGTTTTGTCTGTTCGAGGGAGCACCAATAGTGTCCACTCGATGGTACTATTCGGCGAACGTACACGGGATTCAAATAGATAGACTCTTCGGTATGTCTTTCTGTTTCTAAGGTAGCACAATTGATTTATTTGATATTCTTTGTATAGAGTACTTGTTTCAAGTGCTTATTATGACATTTTTTGGAATAATAAAATTTCCTTTTATCTAATTCAACAATGAGCTGGTATTCTTGGTCACCACTGATCAGACTCATAACCATCAAAAGTTAAACAAACGTGAGCTCGTAATAAATAAATAAATCTTAAATATATACAAATATTCCATCATCTCTTTGTGAGTATTTCAGCCATCAGGCTCGAGATCGTATAAAAGCTCCCCAGTCGTCCAATTATATTAATATTTATTAGCTTTTATCGAAATCGCAATGCCATCTATACTAAAGGTATATGACTCCTCTTTTATTTAAATGAAATGTTACAATTATGTCTAATATTATGCCTGCCCTACACATTTGGAATCCTGGCCTTCCCTCGGCTTGCGAAAAAATTTCCTTATAATTTACATGATTAAGTTGAAATCTTCATAGAT